AGATAATGACAATGATAATTACAAAATACAACGATGCAACGGAATTGATGCTAACCGACCTCTTGCACAACTTAAGAGTACTTGGGAAATCAATCGTAATACCGCTAAGCAATATAATGGAAAATTAAATGAGCTTGGTATCTGTTATAGGCATTTTCTTTATAATCAAAATCAGCTACATTTAAAAAAAATTCAAATGCTAGGAACAGACCGTAGTATTCTTCATTATGCAAAATGCTTATTTTGTAATAAATATAAATGCTTCTTTACACGTGGTGAGGGTTGTTCCAAGCATTCGTGGATAATATGTGGACGTAATATTAGAGTTCCATGTTTAGGACTACGATCATGTGAAGCATTACAAATCTGTTACTCAGTTTCTGTTTTGTCAACAAATAATACACGACCCTTATATATTTGTTCAGAATGTTATGAGGCAAATGGTGGTCATCTACATAGAAGGTATGGTAAAGGAACTAGAGAAACAGACTGTAATGAGAAACATGATGACTTAACTAGAGTTTTAGAAACATTTGGAAATTGGATTCAGTTAGTAGCAAAATCGGATAATATAATACAAAAACAATAGCTTATCTGGTCATTGTTGCTAGCAGTTGAGTCGTTAAAGTCTTATTTGCCACGAGAATTGCTTTATAAACCAATAAATCCAGATCCTTCTGAACGATTTGTTATGCCAACTCTACTAATTACTCGAATAGCATTTAGATTAGCAAAAATAGATTTAAGCATTAAAGCAAAAGCAGCATCTTTAAAAGAAAATGAGTATATATACTTCAGAAATCTTCTTGGAGAATCTTTATGGCAATCACGCATCTTGCTTAAAGATAATTTGCCAATATTAGAAAATCCTCAATCGCTTATACAATATGCTTCGGTATTGCCTCAAACTCTGTGGTCTTTTTTTAATAGTCTTATTATGGTTCTTTTTGTAAAAAAACATGAAATTGCTGAAAGAAAAAGAAAATCACGTGGATCACCATCAATTCCATTAAATTTAATATCAATTAAAAGAATCACAATATTTTTAGTATCAATTGTAATGAGAATTTCTTTTCGTCGTTGGAAAATTTGGTTACCTCATGTCTTGGGCTCACTTTGTAGACGCCCAAATATGATTTCAAAGCTTAATAAAATTCTTCGTTCTGCATATATAATTTCTTATGTTTGGGATCATGAAGTTCGTACAGAAAGATGGCGCATGGAAAGTACTAATCCTGCTAACAGACTTGAAACTACAAGTAATATCTATAATTTATCAGTTATTAATAATATTAATATAAAAGAAAAAACATTCACATACGGAAATATTTATGATACTGCATGGCAAACTGCACATGCTACTCTACGAATCACATTCCAGTTTAAACTTCCTCCAAATTTGCCTGATAATCATTCAGTCTTTTTTTCTGAACAATCAAGCCAATTTACGATTGGGTTATCAATGGTTACAGATAATCTAAATAAAAATTATGATCGAATTTTTGAAGAACTGCTTTTGGAAAAGAAAAATAAATTTGATATTAGTGATATTCATCAAAAGGTTATTGAAACCGTTGAAATAGGATACAAATTTGATAAACCAAAAATAGTAATTCTAAAACCCGGTCTGGTACCAAATTCCAATAAAAATGCATATGAGACATGCAATATGTTTTTAAATGATGTAGCAAATACAGGAGTTAATATAATCAATATTGCATGTGATGAAGCTATTTTTCGAAGACTTAAAAATTATAAAAATAAAGATCTTACCGCTAATATTATTCTTGGACAGTGGCACACTTCAAAAGACATGTGCCAAGTCTTACTTGCAGCCTTTTCTGGTTATGGAATTTTTAATATGGCATTGCAGCTTGGTGTTCGATATTTAGAGAATTTAGAGAAAGGTTCGGATTATCGTGCAACATGTACAGTTCTTGAGCTAATCTGGGCAGCAGTCGGAATTGCAATTCGCCGTTATCTACAAGATACGAATAAAACTATTGATGACATTAAAAATGGGTCTAATAATATTTTGAAAGTTTGGTTAAATTATTATCGGTAGGCAGGTTATTGGAAAGCACACAAAATTGGAATTCGAAGAGGAAATTTCGATTTGCAAATTGCATGTCTCGCTGCATTTGCACCACTTTTTCCGGTTACTGGCAAATTTAGATATGCAGAATCAGTCGCTATTTTTTTAGGAAAATTATATAAAAACACACAACTTCAAAAACGACTATATCAAGTACTATCTATTAATATTACATGTGAAGGGCATTATCTAGCATATGACGAAGCTTTAGAGACATATGGTGTTAAATCTGTTAAAGAGGTGATGACAAAAAAATCTGGAGATGAGAAAAACTTACACCAACAAATACAAGGAAGCCAAGATGAAATTAAATGACTATCAGTTCTTGATGAATTTGTTGACCAAGTAATAGATATTGATGATCGTGTTGTACCAAATCGACTTGAACAAACATGGGCTTTAAGTGAACAGATATATAATGCATTTCAAAATCCAGATCCCAACAGTCATTCTCTTTTTGATTACACAACCCAAAATACTACGAAAGGATTCTTCAATATGGAAACTTGTTATCAACATGGAATAGAACGTATGCAAAACCTTCTTGCGGAAGAAGTTTACTTGACTAAAAAAAAAAAATCAAAGGGAAGAGGAATTAAAAACTTGGTTAAGGATTCCGTAGCGGCTTTAAAGCAACAAAAGAAGAAACGAAAAAATACTCAAAATGAGGATGATACTCAAAGTGAAGATAATGCTCAAAATGATAACGATACTCAAGATGAAAACGAATAAATAGTGTAATAAATCTTTTTTGTTTCACAGCCCAGATTTCGTCTAAAAAAAAAGATATATACTTTATTATATACTATATTTATCTAAAATACAAAATCTTCTATTACTATACTTATCTTTGAACCAATTGTATTATAATTGTTGCAATTACAACTCTAAACCTAAATAAATAAAAAAATGTAGTACCGAAATTGCTTCAAAAGAACTTTTTATATGTAATATTAAGCGATCTACTTACTATAAAACTGTTTTTCTTAAATTTCGCAGTAAAGTTTATAATTTACTGACCTTTCAAACATGCATTTTGTCGAAAGATCTAACGTTGGCGCATCTAATGAATCATTAATTCTGTTAAAAAGTTGCAAGCTTGAAAAGAATCTTCCGAAAGTATATAAAATAATTACCTATTTTCGAAGATATTATATTCTATGTAGAGAAATTTATATGTTGTATTTTTTATAGCATTCGATTCGTAAAAACTTCAGTAATAAACTTTTTTAGAAGTATTTTACATATTTTAACTACAGGTTTAAAAAAAATTTCAAAAGTGTGAATTTGTCGATTTGTGTAATTTATGAAAATCATATAATAAAAATTGTGATGTGACAAATCGTGCGACTGATTAGGCTACTGCTCCATTTATAGTACTCCCTATCGGTATGGTGTTACAGAAGTCTAGATCCTTAGGACGGGAGTTAAGTACCTCATTTAATTACTGTCACAAGCCA